ATTTCCACAGCGCTATTTGTACGAGTGGAGCAAGGTGAATGGACAGGCGTTCTTGAAAAGGAGGTGAAGAACTTTGAAAATGTTTTGGAGCGAGTATTAGAACAAGTCCCCTCAGAGGATATTGAGCGGATAAAGAAGCTTCGAAGTTTTGGTACCGGAAAAAAATTGGCAAAACGGGTAATACGGAGTTTTTGTATAATAAATATGTGGATATGATGACTTGTTTTTTAGGTTTTCTAGAAGGCATGTATGCTAGTGAATGCGCTGTGTTCGATGTGATATCACTTCCACATGGCAGTAACTAGTAATATATGCATGGTGAGGTTCCTTTCTGGCCGGACTACTGCTAGCATTCTGATACTATATGAAAACGAAAACCTAATCTGATCCCGCGAAAAATACTTCGTTTAATTTATCAAATATAACATTAGCCTAATCTAAGATACTACATTTTAGGTGACGACTGCATTTGAAGATTTATGCTCGCTTACAGGGATGAAAGCTTTAGTAATAGATGCCGATTCATGGCCTGAAGATGCTAATGCAAACTTACAGCTTTTAAAGCGTGATATTGGGCGGGCTGTAAATAATACTTCTGGTTACGAGAAAACTATGTGGAAAAGAATTGAGACAGAATTAGAAGAAGTTGATGTTGAAAGCCTTGGGTTTGATCATCCTATATGTTCCGGAGTTCTTGATATTAGATCCAAACCTTTCACAGAGATGCCTATTTCGTTTTGCGATATTTTTAAGGAACCTTTTCAAGAATATAAATTAGAACATAGTAATGTAATTTTGGATAGCTGTAAAGAGTTTATTCATAATGAGGAGTCGAAAATAAATTTGGATGAAGATTTGCATGACGTGAAATTTGGAAAGTGGCTAGATAGTTCTGAAAAGCTTCAAGAAATAACAAGACGAATACTAGAGTCTTTGTAAGTTATTTTTTAGGTCATATCTTAGAATTTTGCTTTAGCGCCTTTGGCCAGTCCACGTGATTTCTATCTACTATATTCTTTTGTAGATATAAAGTTTGGAAATCGCCTAAGTATGAAGCTTATATAAAGAAAGGGAAATCGATTAATGAAGGATCATATGTCTGTGAAGTTCTTGCGACATTAATAAATATAGTAATGAGCGATTTACCTGGAAACCCTGTTATATGGGATGTCTGGTGAGCGATACCTCCATAATTTTCACACTATCTTTTCAAGAAGGGCCCATCTGTTGACTTAATAACCTACCTTTTCTTGGCAATTTCTTCCAATTAGGGGTGAAGAGGGAAGTTCAGCTAGTACTATACGAAAAGGATCACGCAAGTTCGTACGAAGACCTGACATCCAACGGAAGTCCACGCGGTGTCACATGATCACGCAGTTATATTCGAGCGATCTAATTGGCTAAGAGTATATATTTTTTGCCCGAACTTTGAAGGATAATATCTCGACATCCACTGATCGGATTTATGCGAATTTAGGCTTGTTGGATAGATCAGAACCTACTGAATCCAGTAGTTTAATCCTCATCAAAATTGGGCTGGTAGAT